CCAATAAACTGATTGGAAAAGTTGTAAATGTTGTAGTTGTTTTTTGAGTTCAATGAAAAAAGCAAATATGGGTTTCTTCATAATAAATTGCATGCACTGGCAATTTCAGGAAGCTTTGGTTTTCCGAGTTCAGCTCTCTCCGCTCTTTGAAAGCCGCGGCTCATGAAACCTCTTGCGGGAAGCAATAAACCTCTTGCAGGAAGCAATCTGTATTTGCTTTTCCGGCCCCGGAAAAAAAGCAAATATCAATGTAGAATGTTCCAAACACCGAACCGAACCGAACCGAAATCGACCAGGAACCGCAGGAACCGAAACCGAACATGAACCGAACCGGGCCTATAGCTAATACTAGAAACCGAAACCGAACCGAACCGAAACCACACTGATCTCATCCCTACCGATATTACAGCCGGGGTATCGGGAAGAACATATGGATGAACTTCTTTGTCGATGCAATCAATGTGAACAGAAGCTTGTTGGTCAGCTGATTGGGAACCATTTGCAGTGATTAATTCAAGGGGTTCATGAGAGTGATACACAATGTCATCGGGAATCATCTTGCTGCAAACTAAGTCTTGTGCACTACCAGTGTCGGCAATCCATGCAATCTCGGCGGATGCATTACGCTGCTGAGATGGCATGTGTCCTGGCAATGCATTCAAATCGGATCGGATGCAGTGGCGACAGCCGATATCACTGTCACATTCAAAGCTGCATTTGCAAAGTTTGCCATGCAACTCCCGAAAGACAGCTGATTGCAACATTTGTGCTGCAAGTATTGCATCACTTTCTCGTGCTTCGATCGTATCTTTACGAGTACGATCGTCCTTGGTGATGCGAACTGGATTGAAAGTTCGTTGTTTGGCTTGGCACGGATGTAAATTACAATTTTGCTCAATGGGAACTTCGAAGATTTCATCGTTGCCCCCAAATGAAACAGTGCGATTGGGTGTAACTGGCATGGCAAAATGCTGGTTGAAACAATGCGGAGAGGCGATGCCTTCCGGCACGCGATGAGTGCTGGTCGAAGGGTTGACGACTGCGACCATCATCAGAGCGCGCATCAGGCAAACTGCAGCTGAGCCAGAGGAAGATGGTTTTCCCCCTTTGTCCTTGAGACTCTGTGAGCCCCTCGAGGAGTTGGAACCTCGACTTGACGATCTGGAGCGATCGCCTTTCTTCTTGTTCTTCTTCTTTTTCTGGCTCTTTCCACGCTTGTCATCTTTTGTAGATGCAGCTGCAGGTTTTGGTGGGTGTTGGAAAGCACAGTCATTACCTCGCTGACACTTACCTGCCTTCCAAAACTTGCACACTTGGTTCCTAGATCCTGGAGACAAAGACCGACTATTGCCCCTTGACTTGGACCTAGACTTGCCTTTCTTACCTCCGCCTTTTCCTTTGTCTGACTTTTCATGTTTGTATCGGCAATCCTTTCCCCTGGTACACTTGCCAGCCTGGAAGTCGTAGCAAATGCCAGTGGGCTTTCCCGCAGATGGCGGTCGCGTGGGTGCTGGCGTAGCATCTCTTTTGCCTGAAACAGACTTCTTGGTAGCCTGGCGCATCTTCTCAAGACGTCTCCTCTCTAGGTAGTCCCTTGCAGCTTTCATGAGAAAATCATAAGAGCGGTTGGGTTCCCCCTCCGGTGTGCGATCATACACAGCCAGATCATGAGAGAGAGGCTTGAAGTTCTTGATGGCATTGTGAAAGTATGCTTGCTTCCACATCATGTCAGGCTCGGAAGTCATTCCAGCGATCACAGCGTCCCATCGGGTGATGAAACCTCTGAGATCATCATTGACTAAGGTAACAGCCATGAGGTCCTCAATGTCGTACACCGCACCATGTTTCCTACTTGTACTAAAGTGTTTGTGAATCATGAGCAATGCTTGACGTCCCCTAGCTGGTGTCCCTGACTTGGCTTGTTCTTCTTTAAAGATGTCAAGTTGCAGATGTTGGTGAGCGAAGACATGAGCTTTGCGTCCAGGGTCACGAATTTACCTGAGTCCTTCAAGGCATCGACAGACTGGTCTGTCCTGAAAACTTCTTCAACCCACTGAAAAGCTAGGTCGGGTTTGGCAGAAGCAGCAATAATGGCATCCCTTACTCGGATTCTCCAATTCCTATAATTTTCGGGTTGAGGGAACTTAGGAACTAGGATCCTATCAGACTCTTTGGCCTTATTGTCAGTAGTCCTAGAACGCTCTAAGGCCCTTTTGACCTTTCGTGCAAAGGAACTCTCAGAATCCGAACTTGACGTAGTAGGGGATGTAGATGATGAAGGTGAAGATGAAGGATCTCTACGACGTCGTCGTCTCGATCGGCCACGACTGGTTTTGCGATCCTTCTTCTTGTCTTTCTTGTCCTTGCGACTTCTCTTGTCGTTGAAGTCCCCGTCATCATCGTCATCTCCTGGAGGTCCACCACCGGGAAGTCCCGGAGGCTTCGAAGGTTCTGCCAGTAAATGCTCATCGTCAGCATCGGATGAATGCTGAGGCTTCTTGCTTCCCGAAGCTAACTCCTCAATGATAGGACCTGTGGGCTTCGAGGATTGTGGAATGGGTTTTCCGGGTCCATAACGAATCATGAGTCCAGGAGTTCCCTCCAGAGGTTGAGACTTTAGATTCCGGATGAGCTCTCTCTGCTCCTTTCGAAGCTTCTCAATCTCTGCCTCGAAGTCCTTCTTCTGAGATTCGGCCAACTTCTGCATGTTCAAAGCGTGTTGATTCATTGCATCAATCTGAGTGCGATACTCGGCAAGTTCCGAACGTGCTGCCTGCAGATCAGCATTTGACTTCTCCGCAGACGATGTCGAAACACCTGCATTGTTGACCACATGAGTCAGTTCGGCACTCAGTTCCCTGATGCGATGATCCTGCGCTGTAACCTGCAGTTGAGCAGATTTCTGCTCACTCATCGCCTGGGCGGCTTGCTCGTTCAACAAAAGGTTTCTCCTGGAAATTTCTTCGGCTGCTTGTTGTTCAACGCTTGCAAGTTGATCTCGAGCTTCACTCACAAGCTCCATTCGTTGACGTTCCATGACCTCAGAGTGACGTACATTTGCCTCACTCTGCAACGCCTGCTGCTGAGCAGCCATGAGTTGGTTCGCCAGGTTTGGATCAAGGCCTTGTTGTACCACTGCCACGTGGGCGGTACGCTGATCAACACTGTTAAAGTTAATGGTGTTGAGCTGACTGATGTCAATGTTTGAGTCCAAGACACCTGGCATGTTCCTGCGTGGATCAGATCGGCATGGGTCAAAGTCCTCATCCAGGTAACTCATGTCACCTTCTGTTGTTGCCGCGCCTGAATGGATTACCACTTCCTCCGGTTGTGATGCTGTCACCAAAGCCAATGCAGCCGTGGCGTTCCCGCCCGGGGCAGGGAGCGCAGGGGGAGTGGACATGGCGAAGCAAGGAGGGAAAAGCGAAAAGGTGAGACAAAAGGAAACCAGCGATCGCTTGGCGATACGGCTGATAACCTGTAGAAAAGGTATGAAAGCCGGTAAACACCACAAAACAAGTTAGTCAGCTACACACTGTTTCTTGAGCCATTGCCACAAAGTAAGGAGAGGTGAAAAGCTAAAGTGTACACTAAGACTGTGCAACAACAATATATATGTATAATATATATATATATGTGTGTGTATATATGTATTATATATATATATGTGAATAATATATATGTATATAATATATATGTGAATAATATATATATAATATATGAAGTTTCAGAATAAAAAACTGACTTACATGTTTGCCTCAAAACATGTCAAAACCCACGCGCCTAACCCCCCTTCAGAATCATAGCTAATTTGCATCTAATTTTCAATCAGCACCAAAACTAGGCTAGTTCTGCCGCAAAATGCAAAGGCTGAAGAACCCCAAAAGCAATGCAAAGAACACTTCACCTACAACTAAAGACGAACAGCCCTATTAATTTCACACAGAAATTGTAAGTAGCAGGTTTCGTCATGTGAGAAGAGCAAGGCCCACAATGTTATTTTGGAAAAGTTGTTTGCTGAGGTGCTGGTCCACGATTTGGGACAATTGTTCTGGGAGTGATTGGCATGAAAGCCACCCACGGATAATAATGTTCCATTCTTGTTACTATGCGTCTGCTGGCAAATCGATACTTGTTGAAGACTTGTTAGGGGATCGTCGGGGAAAAAGGACATCATTAGTCCAACATGGATCAACATGGAAGCCGTCTGGGAACACAGAAAGTTCACAAAAAAAAAGCCCACTAAGACTTGTTTTAAACTGGAAACAGTCTCACATAAGATATATAATGTTGTCCCTTGTTTATTTAACAAAAGCGATTGAAGAATTATTCTGAAATATCAGCCGTCTCGGAAAATGGAAATCTAGGGAAGGCGCCGAGAACAACTGACATCTTCTTACACCACAAAATGCAGGTTAAGAAGTTAAGAATGGCCCGAATTTTCAATCTGCATTCTTTGTGGTTTGCTCGTTTTTGTTACAACTTGGTCCCTCCCTAAAAAAAGCAGGACGGCAAACCAGCTATATACTCGCAACTTAGACCGATCCTACTTCACCATAGTTCAACCATGTCGATCTAGGGCAGGTGATCTGCAGCTTGCGCATGTTGTTTTGCCTTGATGGACAGCAGCATGGCCGCACAATTTGTTTGAAAGCCTACCTTGGGACCAAACGGCTGCTCTTGCTTTATCTTTACAAGACGCTGCCAAGGCTTGAAGGCTTGGACTTGTTCTCGTCAACACACACACTCAAACTGATTCAAACTGTCTATCACAGGGATGCCCAAGGGAAACAACGGAATGGAGGATGAGAACATTGGCCAGACGAAAGTAGGGGGAAACCTCACAACATATCTGAGCGATGAAACACGTTGCCACACACCTATGGAAAACATTGGAAAACTCGGATGTGGCTCTAGCTGTGCCACAGCCACGCAGCAGCTCAAACATGCTTCCTGGTGTGGTGTTTGGCACTTGTTTCTCTAGCTCTCACTCACAGGTCTCAAACCTTTGAAGCCCGGGCGCTGGGCGTCGCATCGGTCTTATCGAGGCTTGCGTTCAAGGCTGCAAGCTGCACACGACCCGGTAAAATGCTGGAGCGCTGCGACAGCTGGCTGAGTGTGGAGTTCGAAGCCATCCGGTTCTCATCATGGAAGTCGGCCGCAACGATGTTGATGAAATTCAGGATGGTCACCACATCCTCAAATATGGAGCTGCCCTCTGACGTAGTTTAAGGGCCTACTTAGCCCTTCCCCCTCGCTGATCCAAAAAAAACTATGTCACATTGAGCTTCGTAGGAATTCATGGTCCCAATCTTCCCGCGAAGATAGGCGCTTTCAAGTTCCAGAAGCCCCTGCGCACCTTACGAACTGAAGGAGTGACTTCAATCTGGCATGGTCTGGTGACAAGTTTCATCAAAGCAATCAGTGGCTGCATCCTGTCATACTCAATGAAAGCTCACAGTACATTCAGGTGCCTTCCACTTCGCTGAACGCAGGCTTGACCTTGAGTGGTATCGTCTGGTCATCCTGTTGAATGCTCGCAATGTGGAAAAAATAGCAACTATTAAAAATACAAAACAGAAACAAAACACTGTGTGCGGCCCCACAGGTGAGTGGCTGTGGGTCCTTGCCGTTGGTGTTCGAGGAGTCGCCCCAAGAAGTTGTAGAGCCGTTTCTCCTTGTAGCTGCTGTCGGCAGGGCGCCCACGGTGGGCTGGGTCTGCCAGGACCAGGACTGGGTGGCTTCCTTTGGGGCTTCGGTGCCTTGTTGGGATAGTTGGCTTGGATTTGAACCCAGTTTTCAGCATACCCTTCCGTCCACACGTCCACATTGATGTGGACATAGGTAACACTCGGTCCGCAGCCGCGGTCTGTGCTGTTCAAGGGCTGAAAGCAACCCATCAAGGCAAAGAAACCATCCAGCGTCAACGCTCCTGGGCCTTTCAGCTCCACTTTGTAGCCAATCCTCTCCTGCTCTCCAGCGTCATTTTGAGAGCACCTAATATCATCCAATATGCATTCAATATGGACCGGCCAAGCTCTACAAACATTCGTTGCAAAATCTTGGGTTTGCCGCACAGGTTTGCCGAGACTTTCAATTGTTTTCGAGAAATTTATCAGAAGTGAAGTTTGCGCATTTGTATCTGCAGCCGTTTGGTGGGAGCAATTTTTACTGGTATTTTTTAATGTTTTCTTGAGCTGTTTCAATGTAATGATGTCTTAGCTTCATAGTTGATTTTCATACTGCACGCCCATGTGTTGTGAAGACATTTTTTCCGCCAAATTTGGCGGAAAAATGGTTGCTATGTGGTTGATACATCTGAGAAGAAAACGGAAGTTTGAAGACAGTTCAGCAGTACATAAAGTCTTGACATGGAGCAATGTTGAGTTTCGCTGCTGTTTTCGAATGCTTGGTTCTTCTCATCGCTTGCCGTATGAGTGGCAAGGTTTCTTGGCAGCCTGCAGTTTCCCGGTGGCCTTATTTGCGTACAATCATTGCCTGGCTTGACATGGCAATCACGGACGTTCATGACTATGCGGGGATGTTGAATCGATCCATATTGATCCATAAGTGATGATCGAGAACGACAGGTCGTGGTGAGCATGGAGCACGATGGATGTTCGCCGGGAAGTGCCTTCAAAGACACGTCATGGCTGACTGAAGTTCCAAGCTGAGCAGAGAAAAAAGACCGCCGCCGAACCATCGAGGATGCTCGCAGGTGACTTGAAGAAATTTCTGCGTGGAATGCAAACAAAATAAGCAAAGAACGTTATTACACCCCACCCGACCACCACACACAAAGAACACTCAGAAGCATTTCTTGCTTCCCGGCAAACCACTACGGTTGACCCATATGTTGCAACTATTTGTCGTGAACATGATTAGGTCCTGAACCCTACTGTCTGCAAGTGGCATACGAAATTACTTGGGACCCCGTGTCCTACTGATTCGGGGTGTAAATGGGCAGCGCATGGCACCAGTGACCACTTCTTGTGCGGTTCCAGTTTCCTCTTGGTTTGACATGGTTCGTGTGGCTTCACTTTACATTAGTATATTAGGACCTTATTATATATTATTATGATCTGATTATTCGTCTCCTGTGGCGGGCCGATGGATAGTCGCCATTGCGCGAGAGTCCGATGGAGTAGGACTTGCCCGCCACCAAATTTACCAGCTGCTTCCGGTCCAGCTCATCAGTGGCGTTCGGCAAACATGTGAGCTCCGCTGCGACTGGGCCTAGGCCTACAAGACCTGCAATCAGTGCAATCAGCAAGATCTGAAGGTACATTACAGCCCCTGCGCGCGCCATCGCATGGGTTTGAGACGTAAAGTCGTCTACAGCGTTGCGGAGATCAAAATGAATGAACAGTCAGCACAATATGTTGGCCCACATCACTGACATCAGCTTTGAACTTTCAAACCCAAAACAAACCTTGATTTGAAGCAGAAACAACCTCACAAATGCCACTCTGTGTGTTTGTGCGCAGCACCCAGCCTCAACCAAATCCATCCAGAAAGTCAACCTGACTGAGCCGCACAAACCCTCAGACAGCCTTCACATCTGAGCAACCGACTATACAACCTGACATAAAATATCTTTGGGATGATCCCCTACCAAGACCATCATATAAAGTATGGTGATGTCATTGTGAGCTTGACACAATGAACTTCTCCAAATCACATGACATCATTTGGCCCATGGAAAAAACAATTTCAGGGATCATAAGGTGCTTATGGCAAGGCAAGGATTTCAGGTCCCGTGTGGCCCTTGAGGCTGTGCTGCAGGGCATCAGAAAAATACAATTACATGTCTGAAGCCGTTGGGGAAGATTTTGGCACCTGGCAGCTGGTTCTGTTTTAAAAGCATCGGCATAGCATAGGCTTGCGCGTGCCTGACACACGGAGCCAAAAACCAAACGTTCCGAGACATTAAGGGCCTAGAGGGCATATATTCGTAGGACGAAGCAGGATGTCCCAAATGATGTGACAATGTGAAATATCATTCACATGTGACACGAGTCCAGACCGAGAAGAATGCTAAGCCACATCAAAGTGAGGCCTTTGCAATTGATGGAATTTGCTTGATAGATCTTGACACTTACTCTCAAGCCTCAAGTTCTCACAAGTTCCCTGGAGCCATACTGATCTGCACAGTTGAGCAGGTTCTGGCCTCGGCACAAAAGTAGCCTTCCATGTTTCTACCAAGGTCGTGACAGAAGGAAGGCCTGATGTGTCTGAAGTCTGCGGCCAATGACAAGTTGATGAAAAACATTGCTGCGCTGATGATCTGATGGTGGGTGCTGACAGCCAGAGCACCTTTTTCAGCATTCGAGCAGGCCTACAATCAATCGTCTTTGCAACTATGGGGCAGGACAATGAGAGGACAGTGATTCTGCTCGGTGCAGAATGGCCGCGTGTTTGTGATTTGCCACTTGGTGAATGAAGTCTCCCAAAGCCTCGGATGAGGCTCTCAAAGAAACTGTGCATCTATGTTAGAGCTTCCATGAATTCCGGTACTCTGGGCTAGGGACGATGTTCCCAGCAGCCGCGAGCTGCTTGACCTCTTCAGTAGCTTGGGCTGATGACAGGACTCGCACACCAGCCTGCAAGGATCTGGAAGGATCTGGAAGGGGCCGGAGCCACTGCATTGACAGAAATGGATAGAAATAGAAATGGTGTGTCCACTCTTGAAAGGAGGCAGTTGACATGGGACTTGTGGATGACTTAAGAATCCAAATAATTCGAATTCTATTTCAAGCAAGATCTGATTAGCTCGTTTCCTTTCCTTTTCAAAACTTCAACACGGTGTTTAGGCTTCAGTGCCCAATTCTCTGCACCAGAATGGCTCGTGGCCAAAGTGCCCTGCTTTTGAGTTGGTGCCCAACTGCGCAGGACAAGCTCCCCCACCCGCTGGGCTACACTACAAAACATCCAGCACCACACAACCACAGCACACTATACTGAAGGAGGAGGAGTCCCCAGTCGGCAACGACACAGCTCCGGGTTGCCTCGTTCAGGACTTTCTTCGTTGGCAGCACCTCGCTTTCACTCAGCGGTTTGCAGGCATCTTCGATCACCTGAGAAGGCACACAGCGCGAGTTTTTCCACACCGGCATGATGGCACGTGAATCTAAGAGGACCTGCTTAACATCTCCCAAGTTTGTGAGATGTGGACGAGACCCTCTTACGACTTGCTCTGAAGTTGATCAGGTGCCTTCCCATTTCTCGCTTCCTTAGACCTTCAGAATCCTTAAGACCTCTGAATGCAGCCAATATCAGCCAATAGAAAGACACGCGGAAGCCCATCTCCGCTCCATGGAGCGCAGACGACTTGACACATATGTCGAAGACCAAGCCACAACCTAAGTGACGGCATGAAGATCCAATGGCCTTCCCATGACTTCATAGTCATTCATAGTTTGCAATAGGTTCAATAGGTTTCTTTGTTTTTCTCTGGCGCTTCTTGATTGCAGATGTGTAGCGCTTTGAACATATTTGAACATAGTTTACAACTTGAGAGGGGGGGGCGAAAGGTAGGGGGGGAAAGACAGGAGGGAGAGGCAAGAGAAGGTGCGACTGTTTGTAACGCAAGCACGCCGACGACGACGACGACGACTACTACTACGACTACTACTACTATGACGACTACTACTACTATGACGACTACTACTACCACTACTACTACTACTGCTACTACTACCACCACTACTACTACTACTACTACCACTACCACTACCACTACCACTACTACTACTACTCCTACCACTACTACTACTACTACTACTCCTACTACTACTACTACTACTACTACCACTACCACTACCACTACCACTACCACTACCACTACCACTACCACTACCACTACCACTACTACTACTACTACTACTACTACTACTACTATCTACTAGTTACTACTTACTAGTTACTATTTACTACTTACTACTTACTACTTACTACTTACTACTTACTACTTACTACTTACTAGTTACTACTTACTACTTACTACTTACTACTTACTACTTACTACTTACTACTTACTACTTACTACTTACTACTAACTACTAACTACTAACTACTAACTACTAACTACTAACTACTAACTACTAACTACTAACTACTAACTACTAACTACTAACTACTAACTACTAACTACTAACTACTAACTACTTACTACTTACTACTTACTACTTACTACTTACTACTTACTACTTACTACTTACTACTTACTACTTACTACTTACTTCTTACTACTTACTACTTACTACTTACTACTTACTACTTACTTCTTACTACTTACTACTTACTACTTACTACTTACTACTTACTACTTACTACTTACTACTTACTACTTACTACTTACTACTTACTACTTACTACTTACTACTTACTACTACTACTTACTACTACTACTACTACTTACTACTACTACTTACTACTACTACTACTTACTACTACTACTACTTACTACTACTACTACTTACTACTACTACTACGTACTACTACTACTACGTACTACTACTACTACGTACTACTACTACTTACTACTTACTACTTACTACTTACTACTTACTACTTACTACTACTACTACTACTACTATTATTAGGACTACTACTACTACTATGAGGACTACTACTACTACTACTATGAGGACTACTACTACTACTCGGACGACGACCTACTTCTACTACTTACGACTACTACCCACTCAAGAAGAGAATGAATAAGAAGGAAATAAGGAAGGACGAAGAAAATTCATGACTACGAAAGTTCACTATAACAGCGGAAAACCCGAACATTAAGTGTACTAAACTACGTAACTACCCACACCCAAAATTAAGAATACTACTTACTACTTACTACTTACTACTTACTACTTACTACTTACTACTTACTACTTACTACTTACTACTTACTACTTACTACTACTACTACTACTATTATGAGGACTACTACTACTACTTTGAGGACTACTACTACTACTATGAGGACTACTACTACTACTACGAATACTACTACTACTACTACGACGACGACTACTTCTACTACTACGACTACTACTACTATGACGACGACGACGACGACGACTACTACTACTACTACTACTACTACGGCTACTACTACTACGACGACGACTACTACTACTACTGCTACTACTACTACTACTGCTACTACTATTATACTATTACTATTACTATTACTTCTACTACTACGACTGCTGCTACTACTACTACTACGCCTACTACTACTACTACTACTACCACTACAACTACTACCACTACCACTACCACTACCACTACCACTACCACTACCACTACCACTACCACTACCACTACCACTACCACTACCACTACCACTACGACGACTACTACTACTACTACTACTACTACGCCCAGGCCCGTTAAACTTTACATTCAATTGGGAAGATCAACAAGGGTATTAGGGAATATTAAACTCCCACCCCCGTTAAACTTTACATTGAATTGGGAAGATCAACAAGGGTATTAGGGAATATTAAACTCCCACCCCCGTTAAATTGTGCATTCAATTGGGAAGATCAACAAGGGTATTAGGGAATATTAAACTCCCACCCCGGTTAAACTTTACATTCAATTGGGAAGATCAACAAGCGGATTCATGACTTCGTGGAAATTGCGTTGAAGAGTTTGCCGATTTCTAACGTTAGATGTATAAGGTAGGCATTTTGGACAAGAATCAGTTGGGAAGAAACTTTTGGAGTTTGAAAAGCTCACCCAAGCAGCTGGAATGTTTGTGTGCTTGTTGTTGGTGAATCGTTATTCTTGTAGGTATACCGTGTTGTCAGCACGCGGTCTCGTTGGACGGGCCTCCAGGGAGTCGACTGAGCTAGTTGTTGACGCTGTGGAGGCGCTTCCGCCACGTCTACATAAAGTATCGTTTTTTGTTCTGTACAATGATGTTCCGAACTCCGAATAGGTGGGCCCGGTGGAGGGGCCTCCAAAGGGTCAACCAAGTGAGGGGTTGACTCTGTGGAGGCTCTCCCACCGGGTCCACAGAAACTATTGTTTTTGGTTAGTTGTTGACTTTGTGATTTCTAGCAAGTTTACATAAAGTCCAACCGGGTCCACAGAAACTAATGTTTTTGGTTAGCTGTTGACCTTGTGATTTCTACTAAGTATACATAAAATATCGTTTTTTGTTCTGTAGAATTACGTTCCGAACTCCGAATAGGTGGGCCCGGTGGAGGGGCCTCCAGAGGGTCAACCAAGTGAGGGGTTGACTCTGTGGAGGCTCTCCCACCGGGTCCACAGAAACTATTGTTTTTGGTTAGTTGTTGACTTTGTGATTTCTAGCAAGTTTACATAAAGTCCAACCGGGTCCACAGAAACTAATGTTTTTGGTTAGTTGTTGACCTTGTGATTTCTACTAAGTATACATAAAGTATCCTTTTTTTGTTCTGTACAAGTACGTTCCGAACTCCGAATACGTGGACCCGGTGGAGGGCCTCCAGAGGGTCAACCAAGTTAGGGGTTGACTCTGTGGAGGTTCTCCCACTAACAAGGGTATTAGGGAATATTAAACTCCCACCCCGGTTAAACTTTACATTGAATTGAGAAGATCAACGAGCGTATTAGGGAATATTAAACTCCCACCCCCCGTTGAACTTTGCATTCAATTGGGAAGATCAACAAATGTATTAGGGTATATTAAACTCCCACCCCCGTTAAACTTTACATTCAATTGGGAAGATCAACAAGGGTATTAGGGAATATTAAACTCCCATCCTCGTTAAACTTTGCATTCAATTGGGAAGATCAACAAGGGTATTAGGGAATAGTAAACTCCCACCCCCGTTAAACTTTACAGTCAATTGGGATGTTGATGATGTTGATGATGATGATGTTGTTGCTGATGATGCTGATGATGATGATGATGATGTTGATGAAATGAGGGAAAAATTCGTCATCCGTTTGCCCAAAGGAACGACACGGGGAATCTCACAAAACATTGGCCCTGCGCAGTCAAAACGCACTTTCCCGGGCAGCACATCCGTCCTGGCCGTAGTACTACTACTACTACCACTACTACCACTACTACCACTACTACCACTACTACTACTACTACTACTACTACTACTTTTACTACTTTTACTACTTTTACTACTACTACTACTACGACGACGACTACTACTACTACGACGACGACTACGACTACGACTACTACTACTATCATTCGTATGGCACCTATCTCACTAGAATTTACCAAAGAACAGAAAACATCATTTTTTCGGGGTTGCGCTTCATCTCGCCTCGATGAAGCACAACCAAGTGCTTGGGAGCACAACCAAAGTCATTTATCGGACAAACATGAGCTTGGTTGCGCCCCCAAACGCTGGGTTGCGCTTCATCTCGCCTCGATGAAGCACAACCTTGGAAAATGATATTTTTTTTATCTTCTTTGGTAAATTTATGTCATCCAGACCGTAGCATATTCTAGCTTCGCGAAAAACGCGAAAAAAGCGAAAAAAGTATCAACGTCGGAAAAGCGAAAAAGCAAAGCAGCAAAATCTAAAAAACACAAAAGCAGAATAAAAGGAGAAAAAAGAAAGGAAAAACACGGAGAGGC